ACACCCAACAGCAGATTCTCATTAGGATTGGCTACGTTAGGGCTGTGTGGCCTAACATGCAAAGGAGTTCCTGCTACAAGAAAAGCCCTGGGTTTTGACAACAAACAGGGTAAACAGAATAAGAAGCAAAAGGTGGGTGTGGCTGGATGACTACACTTCTGGTAACATGGGGGTGTGGACTAATATGCCAATGAGCTGTGTTGTCAGCTCATATGATTATGAGTTTCTGCTGTTGGGTGTGGTCTATTATGCTAATGAGTTCCTGCTGGACTTTTTCTACAAAAAGAGCCCTGGATGTGTCCCTGGTGACCAAAGCTAAGAAGACTGGGAGGCATGAACATGCAGCTTTTCAGGCAGAGGCTTGGAGTTGGGATCAAGCTAGGCGAGATGTTGATCTGTGATCTGATCTCCAATTTCTTTTAAAAGTTGCCACTAGTGGGCAATTAGATCAGGTCCACAGCACTGAACAGAGCACAGTTTAATCCTGGGCCTTCTATGTATACAATTTGCCCCTGAAGATGCTGCTTACCCCTTCCCCGAGTGAGAGAATGGGAGTGTTCGTGGCTCTTTAAGCACAGAAAGGATGCATTGCTCAGTCTATTTTGTTCATGGAGCACTTCGTTTCCAACTGAAACCCTAACTCTGTCTCTGTTTCCACCAATGGGCAATAGGAACTCTGGGGCCCCGGTCACATGTGCCAGATAACGCGGAGGGGAGGGGAGGCTATTTGTGCCGTCCAGGGGTCGTTTCGTAGAAAAAGAGCTAGGGGAACGCATTAGCATAACTCATTAGCATATGCCACACCCCCTGACATCACCGGAAGTGTGTCATAAGGCCACACGGAGGAAGCAACTTACCCTCCCTCTCCTCCTGCCTCCTCCTGGCTGAATGAGGGCCGGAAGCGGGGCGGCCTGAAGCAGGGGGCGGGGCTTCGTCATGTGCCCCGCCCCCCATACCTCACCCGGGGGAACTGCGATCCCCCCTGAAATGACCTCTGGTGCCGTCGCAAGTTGATCCGCCACTACAAGATCAGACGCGACGGTGGTGAACCAGTGGTTTTTTTCATTGGCGCGTGTTTCCGGCTCGCTTTAACGAGGGAGCACGGATGCAACAGGAGTGCGCTGGAGCGATCACATGGGAACCTTCATCTGCGGACCTTCACAAACCCCTTTGATAGTGGACTTTCGCTGGTAGTTTTTAACTGCGCTTCTTCGGTAGGAAGAAACGGGTTGGCGACGGGTGCAGGACACTTGCCAGATGTTCCCCTGTGATCGCGCCCGTAAAATCCACCCGGCATTCGTCCCTATCGTGCGGCTCATTCTGCGTGTGACCGGACCCTGGGATGAACTACTCCCCTGAGATTTTTTTTGGTACAGCCACCCGTGGCCCTCTTCCAATCCTTACCAAAAGTTCCTGTTTGAGCTCCCTGAGTTTTCTTTTCCTAGGTCCCTGCAGCATTCCGAAGACCAGCAGTGCATACGGCAGCGGTCAGTGGGCCATTCTCCTGTCTCTGACCCTTTTCTTCCTGGGGGGGGGTGTCCCTGTGTTCCACAGAAATTGTGATTCATGGAACCAGATGGTCCAGAGCTTTAAGACTGTGTTTGTTGCCCTGTCACCCTAGCAACTGCACTTCATTTGCTCATGCAGCATGAAGAAATGTGTCTCCACCCATCATTGCAACCTCTGCATCTCAACAATGTAAACACTGTTATCTATAGGGTCACACACTGTGTAGTTTATCTAGACTTAGCTCATGGCCTTCTGAAGAGTCAAATGTATGCCAAAACCAAAGAAAATTGGCTGCTAGGGGAAGGCACATTGACATCCTCCGTAATCCCAGGTTCCTCATGACTTGCTGTGATTTCCCACCAAACCCTGTTCCAGCTGTTGGCCTCCTGACGAGCTGTCAAAGAACAGTAGACTGCTGTCTAAAGCACACATTCCTGACACAGGGCTGGAGCCCGGGTACCTCTGTGCTTCCGTGGCTGAGTCGGATGCTGCTGGTCAGGAAGGCTGATGCTAAGTCTGGAGGGATCAGACTCACTTGCTTTGAATGGAGTCGAGTTGGCATTTGCAGACCAAGTTAAGAACTTGGGGGCACTCAAGGACCCAACCTTGCTCTTTGAAAAGCAGGTTGGCACAATGGGCATGAGCGCCTTCTGTCAGCTGCGTTTGGTTTGTCAGCTCTCTCCTTCCCTGGACTCTGCCATGCTTGCCACTCTTATTAGGAGCCAGTTTGGTGTAGTGGTTGAGTGCGCGGACTCTAATCTGGGAGAACCGGGTTTGATTCCCCGCTCCTCCACTTGCAGCTGCTGGATGACCTTGTGCAAGCCATAGTTCTGTCAGAGCTGTTCTTGAAAAAGAGCCGTTTCTGTCAGAACTCTCTCAGCCCCACCTACCGCACAGGGTGTTTGTTGTGGGGAGGGGAAGGGAAAGGAGTTTGTAAGCCGCTCTGAGACACCTTTGGGTAGTGAAGGGCAGGGTATAAATCCAGTCTCCTCCTCTTCTTCTTCTTCTTCCTCCTGCAGCCTCACTAGCTATGTTGAGCTTCCCTTGTGGACAACCTGGAAACTGTAACTGGTTCAAAATTCCTTGTCAGGGACTAGCCAATGGGAAGGCCTCTCACCTATGTAGGCTGCCAGTTCATGTCTGAACCTGTAAAACCCTTCATGGCTACCTTATTTGCAAGACACTTTCTACCTGTATGTCTCTGTGTGCCCTGCCAGTTATGGTCTTCAGGTTTCCACCTTCTGTCTGACCCCCCTGAGGTTGTCTGCTTGGCCGTTCCTTTTCAATAATTGCTCTCACTTAGTGGAATGGACTCCCTAAGCTGGTGGAGAAGGCGCTACCCTTGTAGGAATCACTGTAAGCCTGTTTTATTTAGGATGGGTTTTAAGGGGGGTTTCAGTTGCAGGCATTTTTTTTTGGGGGGGATAATGCGATTTTATGGTATTGCGCCAGCTCTGAGTTGGGAAATATCTGGAGATTTGGGGGGTGGAGCCTGAGGACTGCAGGGTCTGGGGAGGGGAGGGACTTCAACAGGATATGATGCCATAGGGTCCACCTTCCAAGGCAGCCATTTTCTTCAGTTGAACTGATCTTTATCACCTGGAGATCGGTTGTTATCCCAGGAGATCTTCAGCCACCACCTGGAGATTGGCAACCCTAGGTATTGTGGCTAGAGTTGTAAGGTCCCCCCTGGCCACCGGTGGGGGCAGGGGGGTAAGGTTGCTAGCTCCAGGTTGGTAAACTGGAGATTTGTGAATGGAACCTGGGGAGGGCAGGGACCTCAGTGGGGTACAAGGCCATAGAATCCACCCTCCAAATCGTCCATTTTCTGCAAGGGAACTGATCTCTGTAGTCTGGAGATGAGCTGTTATTCTGGGAGATCACCAGGCCCCACCTGGAGGCTGGCAACCCTAACTCCGGGCAGTTTTAATTTAGAATCGTAAGCTGTCTCGCGACACAAGAGAAAGATGGGGTATGAATAAAATGAACAAATTACGCATGCGTTGCTAGAATCAGGGCACAGTTATGAGTACAATATGAAAAACGTCATGGAGGAGGTGCCCTAAAATCAGAGGTCATTTCGGGGGGGATCGCAGTTCCCCCGGGTGAGGTACGGGGGGCGGGGCACATGACGAAGCCCCGCCCCCTGCTTCCGGCCGCCCCGCTTCCGGCCCTCATTCAGCCAGGAGGAGGCAGGAGAAGAGGGAGGGTAAGTTGCTTCCTCCCTGCCTCTCCCCACCCCTGCCTGCCTGGGGCCAGGGAGGGCCTTCGCGGGGCTTCCTTGCACTCCCGCCGGCCTTGCAGGTCCACCGCCGGGCCCCTCATGGGGCTCGGCAGTGGAGCTGCAAGGCCAGCGGCGGCGGCTGGGACCGTTGGGGGTGGGGTGTGTGGCCTTATGACACACTTCCGGTGATGTCAGGGGGTGTGGCATATGCTAATGAGTTATGCTAATGAGTTCCCCTAACTCTTTTTCTACGAAACGACCCCTGCCTAAAATACAGATTTAAAAAATAGAGCAAAAGGACCTTAGACTTTCTAACGAGAACAAGGATGGTGATGGTGGTGGTGACTGCAGCCCAGGGTTGGAGCTGTGTGGTTGGTGGCTCCAAAGTTCCAAAATGTGCGTGCAAAGAATCAATACTCGAAATTGACCCTGTCCATTCTGAGGGAGGGCTCTTTGTCATGCATGGTTTCCCATGTTTGCACAACAGAACTCGTCTCTTTATTCAAGTAGCGGAAAAATACCTTTGACAAACAGCACTGCCTCAGACGCATGGGGAGAATTTCTGCTATAGATTTTTCCCGTGCACTTTTTTGGGAGGTTCTCCTTCTCCCCCTCCCTACCCCTGTGGACGTTTTGTGTCTGCTTTGAGTTTTACATTGCTCAGGCACACGTAGCCACTGTAGGCTGGCTCCCAGTCTGCAGGATACTGCAATGTGAGATGTTTTCCTTTTTCCGAGGTGAGAGAACCACCCTAAATCATGCTTCAGGCCTGGTGAAGTCTTGTCTCAAACCTGCAAATGAACTCCAGCTGAGCGCCTTCGTAAAAACGGTGTTTATTGGCGTAGCATGACATAGCTTTGTCTTATCGTGCAAAAATAATAACAGATATTGCTCGGAGTTAATAAAATCAGCCAGTTACATTGATGCTGGAGGGGGGGGTCTTCGTTTCTGTCTGTCTTTCTTTTCTCCCTGCCATATATCCATTTAAGAATAGTTGTTTGCCTCCTTTAATTGTTTTGCTCCAATAAAGTTTTAGCTGTGTTGACCGCAGCAACACTGGGAGCTTCATGCTACCAGATGTATGAATGATTGCGTTCCACCTTCCTAGTATTTTTTTTCCTCATGTGTTTCTAACCAGCAGACACATCCTGCAGGCTTTTGTTAGGGGAAACATGTGACCTGCTGCATAATACAAGCTCTTGGAAAGAGTTTCTGGTTTCTGATATTTCTCTCTCTCTCCTTTCTTGTTTTGTGTGTGCACATCCAGGAACCTTGATGGTAGCAGGAAGCTGAAAAATGTAAGTATGAAGACGCGCAGCATCTCTCGGGTACTTGTGTCGTTAACAGTCTAATAGGCAAAAACCCAGTTGCGCGTCTGGGGGGAAAGTGCTTTTTTAAAATTTTGGCATGTGCTTGATCGCTCTTTGGTTCACGACCAGTAGTGCTGTTGTGGAAACCTCTCTTTGCTCCCTCTTTAATTAGGAAATAATATAACTCCCTGAGGCACCAGCAGAGTTGTAGTGTTTGGTTCCAGGAAAGGGACATTTCATAAAACTGTATTTGTGTTTCCCCCCCCCCCCCCCCCCCCCTTCATTTTCTTTCTTTTTTAATGTTGCAAAAAGTAGCGTGGGTTTCTGTTCAGTTCGCATGGTTGACCAGGAAATACCATCCATGTCTAATCCTCAACTGTCTTGCAGAACTGTCATTTTTCGACGCGGCTGCACCTTTGCTTTTGTTTCTGCGCGTTGCATGTGGAGTTGCCGTTTTCAAAGCAGCTCTTTCTGTCCAGTCATCAGTGTTCGTTGGCGGCGGGGGGGGGGGGGGGGGGGGGGAGGTTTTGAATTGTATAATGAAGAAGGATGTTTTTTAAAACTGAGGTGATCACACAGTTAAATGAACAACCAAAAGTCAGACAAAAGTTCTGGTTTTATTGTCGGTTGTAAAGTGCTGAATACTGTCTTCAGTTTGTCTTTGGCTGACGTTCTTGGACATTCTAGGTAAATATCAAGCCCTTTTCTGTAATAACTTTCCAAGTCTGTGTTATAACTCCAGGTAAAAAGGGCATCGTTTCTGTATCCTGCTTTTCCTGGAATCAGTATTACAATAGTGGGGTTTCCCCCCCTTCAACAGTGCACAGATATAGAGGAACTTTTTGGAATAGTTACTTCGAAGGCCGCCTGTCTTCAGACTTAGTAAAAGACTGTTTCAGCTGCATTTGCTTTGTTTTTCAAAGGGGCAGGATGACAGCATGAAGTCAATTTTCAGGGAAACTGCTGATCCTCCATCCCAGCTGAAAGAGTGCTTTAAAGAACAATCATTTCAGCTGAATCCAAACCTAGAAACAGTGGCAGTCACCCACTGGGGAGTTTAGGGTGGAGGCCTGTTTTGTAAAACTTTGAAATGATGTTGCCCACAATTTCCAAGTTGTGTCTCTAGAGCGGCAATTCTGTGGTTTCAAACTGGACCGCTGAATTTACCTTTACATTAACAAAGTGGCATATCAGATATTCCTTGACTATTTAGTCAGAGTAACATCCCATTGAATTCAATAGGACATACTCCCAAAAGGAGTGTGCATGATATTGGGTTTGTATGCCTGCAAACTACGTACACTTGCTTGGGGTTTTATTGAATTCAGTGGGGCTTCTGAGCAAGCAGCAAGAAGTACCGTATTTTTCGGACCATAAGACGCACCTGACCATAAAACGCACCTAGTTTTTAGAGGAGGAAAACAGGGAAAAAATATTCTGAACCCTGGGGCTCAGTATTCGGTCCATAAGACGCACACACTTTTCCCCTCACTTTTTTTGGTAGAAAAAGTGCGTCTTATGGTCCAAAAAATACGGTAAATCTCCTCCGGGAGTGGATTTCAGAGAATGGCTTCATCTGCATAATCCAGCAAACAGGGAAGTTCAGATGGGGGAGCCCGAATTATCCATCATTACAGAACAGCAGCAGCATCAGAATCCGGTCAACGGCCAGCGCAACTGTATGCACACTGATGCATTATACTTTCCCATGCTCTCACCTGCCGAAAGATGAGCCGATTTGATGCAGTTTTCGAGGTTTCGGGATTTGTTGTGCAGCTAAACATGAAAGGAAGGAATATTCAGAATGAGGTTCGGTCATTCCTTGAATGGAGGCAGAAACCAACCCTCCTCTGAATTGCACTATTACAGAAGCTGGATGTGTTAAGCAAAATTTGGCTTCCTAAACAGTAGAGTAATGGAAACATTTTTCATTTCCCATGGCTGTATATGTGCGCACTCCTCTCCACCACCACCCCAAAATTAATTTGTTACAATGAGTGGAAATTTCCTTTCAGTGATCTGATTGTTATCTCAAATGATCCCAGGCTCAGCACCTGGGTTGCCGTAAACAGGAAAAACACTTTTGTTAATAAATACTTGAGATACAAACAGGCTATGAAAATTAATGAATGCCTATTCTTTAAAAAATATATATAAAGTCAATGCTTGTTAAAGACTTGGCATGAAAACGCCTATCCAATTGGAAGTCACCCATACTAGCATTTTAAAGCCTCATTTAACTTAAAAAAAAATCAGTGTGTGCGATTTTCTTCCAAAACTGCGAGCTTGTGTGTTTATTCCCACCTCCAAAAGCAATACTGAATAGGCACAATTTGCCCCTTCCACCCTTTGGTCCTTTCTGCACTTGGATCTCTGGTTTTATCGGAGTTCAACTTGGGACACAATATCTTGCATTTATCCCTGGTTATAACCAGTGTTCCCTCTAAGCTGAGTTAGTGTGAGCTAGTTCACAGTTCTTTTTGCCTTAGCTCACAGGTTTTTGCCTTAGCTCGGGAAGGAGGGCTCCAAAGCAAGCTAGTTGATGCAGTCGCCAAACTTTTCGCTCACAACTTTAATGCCAGGAGCTCACAAAGTGGAATTTTTGCTCACAAGGTTCCGCAGCTTAGAGGGAACATTGGTTATAACAGCATCCGTTTATCCCAGGGCAAGTGTGGGGCAAAACCAGGGTGGCCTCAGTGTAATGTGGAAACAAAAAAATACCCCGAGATAATCACAGGGGTGAACTTGAGTGTAGTGTAGAATGTCAGTTCGGGGACAGGGTTGAACCAGGATTTAAGGTCTACTGCGGAATCACCCTATATGTCTAGGGTTGCCAGCTCTGGGTTGGGAAATACCTGCAGATATCGGGTGTGAATCCTGGAGAGTGCAGGACTTGGAGAGGGGAGAGATCTCAGCTGGGTATGATGCCACACAGTCCACACTCCAAAGCAGCCGTTTCCTCTAGGGGAACTGATCTTCATCATCTGGAGATCAATTGTAATAGCAGGAGTTCTCCAGATATCACTTAGAGGTAGGCAACCGGCCTATATGCATCTCAGGAAAGCCAAAATGGGAAAGGGTGGGGGAAGTACCTTAGAATCACAGAATCATAGAATGTTAGAGTTGGAAAGGACCTTGCAGGTCATCTAGTCCAACCCCCTGCACTCTGCAGGAGCGTAGCCAAAGGATAGCCCTACAACATACCTGAAAGATGGTCATCCAGCCTCCGCTTGAAAACGTCCAGCAAAGGAGCATCCACCACCTCCCGAGGTAGTCTGTTCCACTGCTCAACCACTCTTACAGTTAGGAAGTTTCTCCTGATATTTAGCTGGTATCAACTCCCTTGTGATATCCACCCATTAGATCTAGTCTTGCAATTCGGAGCAAGAGAGAATAGATCTGCTCCATCTTCTACATGACAGCCCTTCAGATATTTGAAGACTGCAATCATGTCCCCTCTAAGCCTTCTCTTTCCCAGGCTAAACATACCCGACTCTTTCAGCCTTTCCTCGTAAGACTTGGATTCCAACCCTCTCACCCTCCTGGTTGTCCTGTTCTGGACACGCTCGAGCTTGTCAACATCCTTCCTAAAATGTGGTGCCCAAAACTAGACACAGTACTCCAGGTGAGGCCTGACCATAGCAGAATAGAGTGGAACTACCACCTCCCGTGATCTGGACACAATGCTTCTGTTAATGCATCCTAAGATTGCATTAGCTTTCTTCTTAGTCACATCGCACTGCAGGCTCATGAAACAGATCATAGATCTAACCACTCTCAATGTATGGCCAGTGCAGATGCTCTGATTTTTCTAAACCATGGTTAAGAGATTTGGAACAAGCCATGGGCTCATTCACTCTCTACTCCTCTTAGTGCGCCCCCCCTCCGAGATTCTGTTGCTGGCTTTAGAATCATAGAATTATAGAGTTGGAAGGGACTTCCAGGTTCATCTAGTCCAGCCCCCTGCACAATGCAGGAAATTCAAAAATACCTCCCATACACACACACCTGCAGTGACCACTGTTCCACACCCAGAAGATGACAAAATGCCTCCAGGATTGCTTCCTGACCCCAAAGTGGCAATCAGCATTTCCCTGGGCGTGTATGAAAGGGCCACAAGAACTAAGCTCTGAGGCAACCCTTCCTGCCCTCCCTCTCATGATCTGCCTATGTTCACAGAATCAGCATTGCTGTCAGATGGCCATCTAGCCTCTGTTTGAATACCTCCAAAGAAGGAGAGCCCACCACTTCCCGAGGAAGCTTGTTCCACTGAGGAACCGACTCTGTCAGGAAGTTCTTCCTAATATTTAGCTGAAAACTCTTCTGATTTAATTTCAACCCGTTGGTTCTGGTTCGACCTTCTGGGGCAACAGAAAACAACTCTGTACCATCCTCTAGATGACAGCCCTTCAAGTACTTGAAGATGGTTATCATATCACCTCTCAGTCGTCTCCTCTCCAGGCTAAACACACCCAGCTCCTTCAGCCTTTCCTCATAGGACTTACGTCTCTAGACTCCTCACCATCTTCATTGCTCTCCTCTGGACACGTTCCAGCTTGTCTATATCCTTCTTAAACTGTGGTGCCCAAAACTGAACACAATACTCTAGGTGAGGTTAATAAGGCTTACATCTCCTCTGATGTAACGTTTAACCAGAGTTCCCATGGGCACTTGATTTTTTAAAGAGTTGCCTTTGAAAATGTCCTGATTTACTTCACTCGTTTTGGAATTAGGTGCAAAGACATTTTAAATGGAAATACATTCAGGTGAGTAGCGGTGTTGGTCTGAAGCAATAGAACAAAGTTTGAATCCAGCGACACCTTTAAGACCAACAAAGTTTAATTCTGGGTATGAGCTTTCGTCTGCATTCTGAAGAAGTGTGCATGCAGATGAAAGCTTACACCCAGAACTAAACTTTGTTGGTTGTAAAGGTGCTGCTGGACTTAAACTTTGTTTCTCTTTTTAAAAAGCCATTAAAATATTAATTT